TATATTTTTAAATTTATTAAATTAATTTCCCTTTATTATCATTTCATTTTATTTAATAATATTGAACAATCTGAAGCTTCAAGTTTTATTTCCAACAAAATATATACTTATATAGATTGCAAATCAACTTGCTATGTTTGCAATAGAAATGCTCAAATTTACAATTTGGCAAGGAAGGAAAAGATAGTTTAAATGTAATCTGAAGTCATAATATTTGCCTTGTACACAGAAGTCGGATTAAATGTGATGATGTACGAAGGAACCATTCTCCGTATGCTTTCGCTCTTTTTTTTTCCTTTTTTGGGAGAAGGGGAGGAGGGAGGGAAGATTCCAGTCAGAAGTACCTTAACAGCGCTAAGAGCACGCTTTCAGAATTCTAGCAGCAACATCAAATTAAGGAAAGTAACCTGATGTGGACGTTAATAAGACGGTAGACTGAACCATATTCGAACTCGACTTGAAGAGATTCGTTTACTTTTCATATTCACCACGTGCTTCCAAGAAATAAATTTTGTACATCGTAGATATATATATATTTCAAACTATTATTATTGTTATTTGATTAATTTTATAACACAATTGTAAGATTGCTACTTACAAATTTGTACATGTAAACTTATTATTATATTTAATAACAGCATGGTGTTTATAATTTGACAAAATTATGTAGCAATTTTATCGATTCTTCTTATCTATAAAGAAATATTAAATACAATAGGAATTCACTTCGTGTCTTCTAAAGCCAAATCACTTTCGGCCTGCCCTAAATTCAATCCGGACCTTCTTGGTTTCCGAACCCCTACTGGCCTCGAGCCATAAGGCACAACACGCCTATCCTATCACTGATCGATTCGAAAAAGGGCAATAAGTTTCCGCGGAATTACCTATTTTAGCCAATTTTACACACAAAAAGTATATAAATCATCAAAAGCATATATAACAAAAATAATCAAAAATATGTGAGAAATAATGTGAATTGCGATATCAACAAACGTAAATCATTGGATAAAAAAAAATTTAATTATTACAAGGAATAATTTTATTCTGAATTAATAAAAGATTTTATAGAGTTCAATATTTGGAGTTCATTTATTTATTTATTTTTTTTAAATTAATAATAGTGCATCTTTATTATAAAGACTTTATGCACCAAGTTCATGTATAATTAATGATAATACTTGAATTTATTTGTAATATTCGTTCTTGACTTTTTTATAATTTTTTATTCCATTAAATATTTATTTATAAATTATATAATAATGAAACAAATAAGAAGAATAAGGGAAAAAAACATTTTCTGTGCAAAGAATTAAAAATATAAAGAAGATTAAATCAAGAATAAGTCAGGAGAAAGAATAAATTATGCAGAACAAAATTCTATATTCTCTCTAAGCGAAATTTACTGGAAACAAATATAGAATATTTACGATTACAAAGAATTCTGGAATTGTTACCTATAAGAACACGAAAAATATCCAATGAACTGTACAAAATGGACAATGACAGAAGAAAGTACGAGCAAAATTTCTGAGATTGGACATTGAATATCTTTTTCTTATTCTCAAAAGAAGGAAGGAACAACAATGCTGTAACGTGAAACAGTACCGTTCCTCCTTTCTCGTTTCAAGTCATATCGAATTATCTTATTGAAGTATCTTATTTCTACTATCTTTTTCGTACTATCTTGAAATTTTCTATCCTAGACTAGCAAAAAAAAATCTGAATTAATTCTCTATTATCGCTATACATAAATAATTTCCTCATTTTTACAAATCTATAATAACTAAAGAGAATAAAAAATTCCATTTCCACCGTGGAATATTTGAATATAATTTCAATCGCATTGTATCGGTGTAAAATTATTCAAAAAAGAAAAAGAAAAAAGCGGCATCGATCGATATAACTCTCGGATCTCGAAAATAATGAATTCGAGAGATATGTAAGAATTCTGTAATCGAATCATACACATGAAACATATGAAATATATGTATTCACGGGGCGGGCTCGATTATTTCGATCCTTGCTTCTGGATAGACATGGAAACGCGGCGAGCAATAAGCACGAAAGGTTTATTTCGCAAGCGCAAAGCTTTATTTCCCGTCCTTCTGGACCTAATACGAAAAGAGCCTCGTGAATCGATCGTTGTCGCTCTCGTCATCGGGCAAGCCTTACTCACAGCAGCCCCTTTAAGACGTTGACGCCTCGTTGGAGGAGAGAAGGGATGGTTGGTGGAGAAGGGTGAGAGAGGTCAAAAAGGGATGAAATAACGACTCGAATAATAGGGAAGAGGGAGAGAAGGGAGATATTACTGTTGGATGCTTTTTATTTTTCCGATGAAGATTGTCGTGCCTAGATTGTGAATAATTTTCCATAAATATACTATCCTCTATGTATTATTATTTAATATAATTTTACATAATTTTTTTTCAATTTTCTTAGACTTTTGTTATGTCTTGATAAAAACTTTTATTACTTTTTTGAGTCAGATACTACTAATTAATCAAAGCAACTTTTTTAATTAATATTTCACCCGTTTCTTTAAAATTATTCTAGAATTGGTATTTGATATTTTTTTAATTTCTAATTTTTATTTTAACAATTAATCACTTTCTTTTAAATTAACGAAACGATGTTTAAAAACTGAACGATGTCACTGTATAAATCACGAAAATCATGTGTCAGATCTACTACATCAAACGTATAATTACTACAATGAATATAAAGTAGGTATCATGGGTAAATTACGTACTTTGTCAGGGACGTTTCAATTCTCTCCCTTGAATACGATCGTCACCCTCCTCTATACGACTATCTCTTCCGAAATGATGACATCGACGTTGAATGTCTTCAACCAACTGGAACCGCTAGGCATGCAGGAATTAATTAACCTTTCGATTTAATTTTATCCGTAGATTAATTTTGGTTCGAAAGTTTACATATACTGGGATGTCTGAAATGAATTTTAAACGAAAAATAAAATTTTAATTAAAGCTGATCTTTACAAATTTAAAGAAATTTGTTTGTACTTAATTCTGACATTGATTAATTTAAAATCTATGAATACTCGTATTGATAATAAATAAACAGATAAATTATAATATTATTTATATTTGTAAATATAGAATAGAATAGAATAGTGTGTAATACTTGATAGATTTCCAATATTAATTTTCTCGACATTCAAAGAAAATTTTATTTTGAATTTTCAATTTATTTTTCTTCTTTTTTTTTTTTTTGTGCAGAGAACAATATGTTACTTGATATTACAGTTTGATAGCAGTACACCTTGTACATCCTACGTACAGCTCATCGTATATACAGAAAGTTTGTTTATAAAACTTTCAACGCGGCGAAAACGCTGTATCATAAAATTTTATTATACTTTGTTTGTTATGAATTTTTTTTATTATAAAATAAATACGATATTTCGATTGAATTAATTACATTTATCTTTCGTACCATTATTTTTTCATTATTTTCTGACCTCAAGAAGGGATAGGAGAAAAATATTAATATTAATATTATAAATGTAAATATTAATATTATAATCATTTCTAGAAAGATAACGTTATTATTGTTCCTTTGAAAATGACTTTATGCTATACCATAAAGCCGTGAGCATAAAATATTGGAATGTTACAGGGGATTTTAAGCAAATAACATAATTTATCTTTCTGTTGTTACATTTTTTAATACCGGGAAAGCAATATTATTATCCGTCTTCTAGGAAAGTAGATACCATGAAAATGCTACAAAAGGCTCAATTAAAATATTGAAATCCTTTGTTTCATAAAATGGATCAAATAAACAATTGTTTGTTGATTCTTTATCCACTGATGACCCTATAATTTCACGAAATATCGATAATTATAATATTATTGATTAATTAAAATATTTAATTAATCAATAATATCGAATACTTCATGATATTAAATATTTTAAATAGATAAATCTTTTTTTTTATAAATAGAATATTCATATTAAAAAAAATAATAATTTCTCGAAGAAATAATATTAAATGTAGGATAAATAGAATTTTCTCTGGATTGTGCGATATATTTTTTCAACACATCAAAAATTACCCGTTTTCTCTGTTCATTTAAATAATTAAAAAGTATAATTACTTTCAACGAACAATTCATTCTCCTTTTTTCAGTATCGATATATTTTTCAATACGATATTTCCTATTATATACCTAGCATTTTCTAAGTAATAATTCAATTTATAATTAATTTCAAGATAATCAACGAAACGAATCGTCGAACAAAATGAGAATAGAATTAACCCCCTTTCTGTCATTAAAATTCCAACGTCCAACGAGAAACTAGTGCACAACTCGGTCGAAACGAACTCGAAAGAGACCGGGGCTGAAAGAGTATAAAATCCGTAACAAAGAAGCTCGCGTTTCTCAACAAATAACCGTGTTTCTAAAACCGAAGCATCCCTGAAATCCGCTGAAACGCATTCTCTAATTCCCTCGAAACAAACAAACCGTCCACGCGTTTACGTACGTGTGTGTGTATACGTGCACACGCACGTTGCACCGAAAGTTGGGCAGAGAAGCAACTTGGCCGGAAGCGGATTGGCGTAGCCACGGTTGGAAAAGATCTCACGGAGAATCCAGTTGAATATTGCGCAACTTGCATCGTATCGCGCACCATCTCTGCGTATATGCACGACGAGAAAGAGAACAGAAACAAAGAAACAATCAGGAATGCAAGCTCCGAAAAAATCGGTGCTCTCGCGTAATCCGAAAAACCACGTCGCTCTCCTCTCCTTTCGTGCTAGTAGTCGTCGTGACGATCGTCGTGGTCGTAGTGACTACCCCAACGCATACGCACTCGGGCCTATGCGCGCGCCACTCGTCCCCACTATTGTCTCCATCTATCCCCACCTCGCCCCTCCTCGCAGTTTCAGTTGAAAGACAGAAACGGCGGCTTGATTCGAGGTCAGTTTAGTCCGCGCACGAGTCGAAATAAGCTGAGCTTTCGTTCTGACATCGTCGTAACATCGGGACAAATCGCGACACGAACGAATAACGATGATCTTTCGCTCGTATCGGGTGGTGGCACGGTGAGAATCAACCGGTAACCGAGATTCTTTTCGCTCGAGAGTCGGGATAAACGAACGGCGAGTCTAGTGTTGAGTAAAACGTATGCTGTAAAATATCGGTGACAGAAGAGGTTAGGCGTAGAGGAAGGGAAGGAAGAACGGACTGTGAGATCGTTGGCTTCGTCGAGTGTCGAGGCGAGTAGAGCTAGTGTTCATTGTGCCAGCCAACGGTTTACTTCGACCAGCGCCATCGTGACAAGGCAGCATCGACATGGAGGATACGGAAGCGGAATAGTGTCGTTGAGATGCCGTGAAGCAGTTCCCGAGACATGAAGAGAGCGCGACCGTGGGTAAGTAGATTTCTCTTCGTCGTTCTATCTGGATCGCTCGTCCTGAGTGGATCCTCGCCTCGAGGGACCCTTGGCCAGCCAAAGCTCAACCATCGGAGCGAATTGTGCTCGCCACGACGACTAATTATATTCGCCGCGTTTTGTCGACCGATTACTTCGCCGAGCGATCGCGAAGTCGAGAGTTTCTCGAGCTGCGACCGAGCTACGCCACCCGTATATACTATTCTATTTCAACTCTAATATTGTAATCTTGTTCTCATCGTTCTCCTTCATCCGCTTTGATCTCGTCCATCTTTATCCACGGTCAAATACTCGAGGATCCTTTCGCATCACGATTACATTGCAATCCGTAGTGTACTCAATACTCGCACGGATACACGTTCTTATTTCCTATTTTTCCAATCAGCTTCCTCTATTCTTCGCTCGTTCGATATATTCTTACAGCGAAGGTAGAGAAAACTAGGTGGTGATAGGATTCTTCGATCCTAAGGGTAGACTATTTTTAATATCGCCTCTTTTCGTTGCTTTCTCGCGCTCCATCAAGCGTGATCTCATTGAAACAGCGCCTTTAAGACACCCCCAACAGTGGAATGAGAGTAAAGAGAGCAGAATTCCGCGAGTCGATCGTTCTCTCGCTCTTAATCGCTCCTAACCCATATCAATCTTGGCGCAAAGCTATGGTTCGATGCACTCGTCTCGTGTATTCCTAACTTTCTTCCTCACCGTCGTTATCCTCCTTCTTCCGTTCTGCTCGCGCGAACTATTTTCGTTCATTGATTTATCGGATTCACCAGTTTCTCGCTTTCTCGCTCGATCGTCGCCGCCTGCCTACTTTGCCTTCCCCCGTTCACCCTCCGTGCTAGTTGTGTTGGTTCGATTTCGTTGCCGCTTCGACAGGTTAGTGCATCCTTCTCTCTCCTTCTCTTCCTCTCTCTTTCTCCTTCTCCCTCGCCCTCCCTTCCTCTCGTTCCCTAACCAACCCACTCTCTCTTTCCACTCGTCCGTTCCGTTCTTTCCTTTCGTTCGTCCCTGCACGTCGTTGGCTCGACACGAACGATCGAAAGAAGGAATCGCGGGATGGCAATGTTGGGCGTACCGAGCGCTTATATCGGCGTTTCGTGCACGCAGACTATCGATTCCACGCGACAAGGGGCCGACTGCTACTGCCGCCGCTCACCCCGACTTGTAAACCAGCTATGTGTACGAGCTTGTGGAAAGTCAGCTCGTTCCTGTCGTGACAGCACGCCGCCTTGTCTTTGCGTTAACGCCTCGTCTGTCGTGTCGCTCTGGGCGTGTGTGTGCGTGTGCGCGCGCGCGTGTGCGTGTGGTCAACAACCTTCCACTCGCGGAACGATGTCAACTACGCATATACATGTATATACCAGCCTACGATTATTTAATGGAGGCGATGGATGGATGAATTGTAACGGCGAAGGGACGGACCTACGTGCAATTTCTCGTGATTTCGGTGATCGATGCTCTAGGATAGTTTGCAGCGTGATCTCGGGGAACGTGGAGGGGTGAGAATTCTTGGCGGCTGCGGTCACCGGAATTTCGTAAGTTCCGGAATCTCGCGGTCGCTCCGGCTGGATAGTTCCGCCAACCTGCAATTTGTGATTTGGGACTATTAATAGTACGTGACGTGGCGATCATTTGCCACCGGCCTCTCATTTCGATGATTAATGATTATGCAAATGGGATGGAAGGATGTGCGCCTCGTTTTTATTTTATAATCGGTGTTTCATTGTTTAAAGTGGCAGGTAGAAAAAGGTAATTTAAAGGGAGCGTAAAGCGTTGGTATATTTTTAATAAAATGAAAACCTTTGTCCGTTCGTTTTTATAATGGTTTTAATTAAGTTAATGGAGTTTAGAAATTTTCGTTGAGATCAAATTAAATATTTCAAAATGAAATAAAATTAAACGAGAAAACTTGACTGTAACGCGATTACGAATGTTCGTTATTTATATTGCGATTTTTATTTCTAATTGTCCGTTGATAGAAATTCTGAATCAGAATATATAGATATTTCTAGTTGATGGATTTCCATTTTGCGAATTGGTGATTATACCGGCCAAACGAAGGAAATTCGCAATATATTTCATGAAAGATTCATCAAGTTGCGTATTAGATTTAGTTTCCATTTAAAATGGTAGCCAAACAATTTTGGAATGATCGTAAACATCGAGTGATTCGTGACGAATACGATGCGTCAGTCAATTACTCAATATTTCTTTACTCTCTTTATCCAATTATCTTTTTCAACGCGAGTTTTACGATATAAGAAACGACGTTGCAACAACGTTGCAACGCATTGACGATAAATCAAATTTATTATCGATATTATACCGCGTTACATCGAAAATGATTTACATCGACGCCATTTTCCCGATTTCATATTCGATTCGTGTGTATAATAACGGCAACGCGGCAATGTTAATCGAACAATGTTACCAATGAACCAATTATCCATAAATAAAATTCAGAAATCGCACGGAATTAGAAAAATTATTTCTACTATCAAAGCGCCGCGTATTTTCCTTTTCAATAATTCCCTCTCGCTTCCCTCGTCGTTTATTTGCACCATCCCCCAGAATTTTTCAGCTTGAAAAAACCCGGACGTCCTTTGTCTGCGCGCTTGAATTTTTCATCCCGTCTAACGCGGGATAAAATTTTCACGCGGGCAAATTTTTCACGCGGCCCCGTGAACGCGTGCCTGGGAACCGAAATTAACAGGGACCGCGTAATTATTCAGCGGTCAAACGTGGCCGCGTCAATCTTCTCGGTATTAAACGTTCCTCCCTCCCTCTCCCCTCCCCCCTCCTCTTTTTGTTAATTTATTCGCGCGCAATGTAACCGCGTACCCTTGGCGCTTTGCCACGCGAATTTCGCAGGTAATACATTATCGCTTAATGCCATTTATCGCGCTAATTACACGGATACGAGCGAGATACGCTTCCCCACGCTCGATTCATCGTCGCGGATACTTTTCACGTTGAGATTCTTCTTCCTCTTAAAATAAGTAAAATTTTTGTTCAAATGGAATTGGTATCAAATGGAATTGTTTTATATTAATATTCGCTACGCTTCGTGTTTGAATGATAATTAAAATTAATAAGTTCGTCGTGATGGGAATCGAAAATGCGAGAAAATATGATCGAATGGTATTAATTTGTAATTAATTATTGTTTTAACGCATTTATTTGTGCATTGGAAGGTATATCAAAGTATAAATATAAAGTTTTTGCGCTATATTTTTATCTTTTTGGTTTTATTCCGTTATATATTGTAGGGTATACGAATAAACGCTATTCTGTTACAAAGTAATTTAATTTAAATTACGCGAGTTGGCTCAAGGTATAATGATTAGATAAGTTACGAATTTGATAAAAATAAGATTAATAATTTGTGAATTTGAGAATTTGATGTTAAATAGGTTGATTTGTTGCATATAATAACATTTTTTTGTTTATAATTCTTTTAAATCTTAATTCTTTTATATTTCCAACGAAAGTTGCCTTCTATAATGATTATAAGATTTCATAGAATATATCTTGTATTTCGTTTGAGGAAGAATCCTAATTAATTAAAAGTAATTAGCTATCTTATGAATTAATTAAAGCATTATTAAGATTTGAATATAAATCGAGAAAGAAATCTAATTTAAAAGAAACAATAAGAAAGCATTACAAATACGAAATAATTGATTTTTCTAATAAATTAAGTATTCCTATCGACTTATTTTGAAAGAAACGATAAAAATACTTGATTATTTATTTTCATAATTCAAACAAATTTCAAGTATCTTTTCAACTCAAGTTTCTATAAATTAAAATTTTAACTTTCTGATCAAGTTTATCACAAAAAAAGAAAAAAAACATTAATAAATTCGCTAATGAGAATTCGAATCGAATCGTTTCGTCATTTCATATCGAGAAAAACGAGTATTACAAATTCCATTATCGTCAGTTTTGTGTTCACTATTTTCGCGTTAGCACAATAGAATTCGTTATCGCGAATTTCTTTTACTTCTAATGGATGCGATTCAACGACGACACACACAGTCCATCACCATCCTCAGTCTCCTCCCTTCTTCGCCATTTTCCATTTTTTATGGATCCACGCGGTCATCGTAACACCTTTTCCCGCCATTGCTCATCATCGTTTTTGATCGATCGAAGAATTGTGCGCTTCTGCCTATACGAAAAGATCGAACTCTACTCGTCTTGATCTTTTTTTATCCAAGAAAATGCGAACGAAATCCTTCCACACGAATCCTTTGTGCGATCCTCGAATTCTTTTACTTTTACTTTTAATATAAGATACTTTTAATATAAGATACTTTAATATAAGATACTTTTAATATAAGATTACTTTAATATAAGATATTCTTCTTAATAATAATAATAACAAAATCTCGATGCAATTCTTTTACTTTTACTTTTTTTAATATAAGATACTCTTAATAATAATAATAATAACAAAGTCTCGATGCAATTCTTTACTTTTACTTTTTTTAATATAATATAATACTCTTCTTAATAATAATAATAAAATCTTGATGCAATTCTTTTTTTTTTTTACTATATTTTATTTTTTTTAATATAAGATACTTTTTTTAATATAAGATACTATAATAATTATATTAAAGTCTCGATGCAATTCTTTACTTTTACTTTTTTTAATATAATATAATACTCTTCTTAATAATAATTATAAAAGTCTCGATGCAATTCTTTACTTTTATTTTTTTTAATATAAGATACTCTTCTTAATAATAATAATAACAAAGTCTCGATGCAATTCTTTACTTTTACTTTTTTTAATATAATATAATACTCTTCTTAATAATAATTATATCAAAGTCTCGATGCAATTCTTTACTTTTACTTTTTTTAATATAAGATACTCTTAATAATAATAACAAAATCTCGATGCAATTCTTTTACTTTTACTTTCACTTTTACTTCTTTTAATATAAGATATTCTTCTTAATAATAAT